TTTGGCTAAGAAACTTGTTGAAAGAGTTAAAAATGCCATAAGAAGATCCTATGGAAATATGTGTTGACAATAAATCAGCACTTGCTTTGGCAAAGAATCCTGTATTTCATGAAAAAAGTAAACACATCGACACCCGTTACCACTTTATAAGAGAATGCATCGAGAAGAAAGATGTGAAGTTGAAGTATGTGATGTCTCGAGATCAAGCTGCCGGCATTTTCACCAAGCCACTCAAATTGGAAACGTTCGTAAAGTTAAGAAGCATGCTTGGAGTCACAAATCAAGTTTAAGGGAAGATGTTGAAAGATTAAACTTGATTTGGGCCTAAACATATTATTTGGATTTTTGAGCTTAGTTATTTTGGACTTAGGTAATTTTAATTAATGGTTCTAGAAAACTCTTGTAATGTTTGGAGTGTCTAGATATTTCTTAGGGTTGTAATATTCTCTAGAATGCTCTTGGAATTCCTAGAGTTGAGAACTCTCTAGAATTAGTGTGTCTAGAGTTCTCCTTAGAGTACTATAAATAGAGATGTAATTCTACACTTTTGCATCAAGAAAAATACAAAGTTCTCTCTTCCATAAATAATTCTTCTACCTATCAAATTTCTCTTTAAGTCTCTAATATTCCCACACACTTTTCCTAAACACAAAAGGTCTTATTTCCAACAATTGGTAGTTGTGGTTGAAGAGTGAACGGAAGGAGGAAGAGGTAGCTCGCCGGTAACGAGTTGGAGTGGTGGTTGACAGTGTGGCTATCGGAGATGTGTTTGAGGTGAAGAAGAAGACGGTGATGTGCGTTACAGTGGGATGAGGTGGAGTTAAAGAGATGTGATTCACCAAGGAGAAAACATATCTTTTCAACTTTTTCACTTTTTCATATTTATTTTTTTCATTTTTTTTTGAAATTGAGAAAGAGAAACGAATGATGGTGAGCTGCTGATGAGTTTTCTTCCAAGTCTCAATAGCTTAGAACATGAATATCGGGTTCCTTCAACACTGTTTTCACATTTTTCAAAGAGACTTGGTCAATGTGTGATGGATGTTTGGTGTAAAATGCTATTATCTAATTTACAAATGCTCCTCTTCTAAAGCACGCTCTTCTTTATTTTAATTGGGAAAAAATTAATATAAGTTGTATGGATATTTGAAAAATAGAGTTGAATTGTTTAAATAATTAAAAAATGTGAAATAATATAAAAAAATTATATGAGATCCATTTAAAGAACTTTGTAGAGTATTATCAATGTGGATGCTCTTATATACTACTAGGTTAGGGTTTTTAATTTTATTTTATTCCAAGAATACCCTTGGATAATTTTGTATGACAAAATGAGTTGTAAAAATGATGAAATGAAATCAACCAAAAAAAATAAATCAACTCAAAAAATTTATATTTAACTATATTTATTTATTTTAATTATTTTGATTTAAAAAAATAAAAAAGAATTAAATCGAGTCAAATGTAAACCCTCAAACATCTGAAACAAGCAAATGAATGTACTAAAATAATCTACGTGAAATAAAGTTCAGTAAAACAAACAGTCGCGAATCAAACTTTGCAGTTAAAAATATCCTGATGAAAAGACTAAAACTGAACAAAATGCAAATGCGCACGGATACTAAAATATAAAATGAGCATATCGGATTAAATTATGTATAATGTAAATCAATATTACATACAGTTACTTGCCCAAACCTTAAAAAAAAACCGTTTTTTGATTTTACGCGCGGTTAGAAATCGATTCAACCATATTGTCTAAAAAACTGAAATTTTATTATGAACAAAACAAATAAAACTAGTTTCCTGGAAATTTAAAATTTTTAGAAAAAATTGGGGTATGACAAGAATATGTTTTGAAATGTGACCTGGTCCAAAATTGTGTAGGGATATCCATCCTTTCCTTCAAAGCAACTTTAATCAAGCTTTTCATCCATTGAATTGTCCTCTCCCATGATGGAATAGTTGTATCTCTTGATCACTCCACATAACCTTTTTCAATTCCTACCCAAGATATTTCTTCTTCCAATTCCCATAAAGATGCTTCGCATTAAGGCGTTGCTTCACATGTACGCGGACACTCTGATTTGCGGGCACTAGGCCCTAAAAAATAACACCAAAAGAAGACAATATTACCATTTAGTATAACTTATTAATTGATAGAAAAAAAAAACAAAAAGATATAGATTAAAAGATGTCTTTTACTGGTCTGAAATGAAAGCATAAGTCCTATAATTTATTTCTTTTATGCCTTCTAGGAGAAGGTATATGAACCACTCCCAAGAGCCTTTTGTCACAGCCTCTACAATAGCATAAGCAATGAGAAATATTTGATTATTTCCATCTCTTCCTATAGTTGTCATCAATTGTCCACCAACATCTTCTTTCAAAAAACAAGCATCTAAACTTATAAGTGGCCTATAATATTTTTGCAAAAGTAGATTTGTAGACCTTTAAACATGTATAAATCCTCTAAAACACAAGGCCTTCATTAAAGTCAGACATTACATCACAACATTATTATTAGGGTTTGACTTGAGTAACTCTTCTGCATAACTCCTTAAATGGAAAAATTGGTTCATACTATCATACCTAATTGAAATTTGAAACCTTCATCACTTTTATAAGCCGAAAACTTCTCATGCTTATTATCATCACCACTTTCAGGAGGTGTGTGCAGTTGACCAGAGTCATAGACATCATCATTACATTCATTTTTATCATTAACATCATAATGACTCACCTTTTCACTAACTGGTATGCTTGTGGTCCAATCCAACTCAATTGGTATTCGTATATCCCTAGGGTTCTTTTTCACTAAGGTCACGCGAAAAATTATATCTAAGGTTATGAAACCATAAACACTTAATATTCGTATATTCCTCCTTTTTAATCAAATATTCTAACGACATATAAGACATATAATCCAAATCTCATTTACAATTCATTTAAGATATTTTTCCATTAACGTACCATTTAACATGGTTGGATACTAATTAACCCCTGTGATGAATGTGTAACCTAATTGTTTGAGTTTGAGATGGTTGGAAATAATCAGAATAAACAATTAAAAGGAATAATCATATTAAACAAATAACATCATGGGACCACATTTAGAATAAAAAATTTGTATGCATTTGGAACCACATTTAGAACAAACAATTGTTGAGAATGTAATTCCTTGTGTCAAAACAGGTGTAGCTCGATAGAAACAAGGATGTGCCGAAACTTGTAGTGTGTGTCAAGTTGTGTTAGATGTCGAAGTGTCGAAGCAGGTTGCTTGACACAAGATTTTGACTTAAACTAAAAATAAAAATTTTAGGTTTTGGCTTAGGAAGCAAGCTAACCTAAAGTTATAAATAGAGGGAGTAACCCCTATTCTTGTAATAACTTGAATTCACAGAATTTTCCAGTTGCAAAGTAAATAAGATTTTTCTTTCACTCAAGTTATAAATAGAGAGAGTTACTCTGCAGAAATCATCATCTTCTTCTTTTATATTTTGTCTAACTCTAATCTTCTTTCTTATTCAATTTTCTTTCATTCTTCATCCATTAACAATTGTTGCGCAGAATCATTCTTGTAATCAATGTGTGATTAATTCACTCAAGTGAAGAGTGAATAACAAGAGATTTTGATTGGTTGATTGAATCTTATTCATCAAGATTGGTTCAGAATTACTCAAAATTTTGGGTTAATTCCAACAACAATTACCAAATTTTTAACATTTTAGGACCACATGTTTTAGAAAGGGTAATATTATCCAAATACCAAAACCTTAAACCCAAAAATGAAGAACATAACATTGAGCGAAGTGACATAGAAGGAACGACACAAAACTCTAAACCTAGAAATGAAGAATATCACTTACCTCGTACAAAATTTCACTTCTTCCTTATCTTACGATGATGCCTGAGGGATATCCATTGTACCTTCTCCTCGTAGTTCCTTCAATGGTTGAAATAAAAACAATTCAAACGGAATTTTTGTAAAATATTTGAGAAGCAATAATTTTCTTCAAATGATTTATAGTATCTCAAGTGACGATTCGTTGGTTAAAATGAAACTTCAAAAAAAATTGAGTGGCAATAACAAAGAGGAATTTGCCTGCTCAAAATTAGGGTTGAAGGAGTAATGAAAGAGAAAGAAAACGAAGAGTTCAACCATTCTAAGTTTATTTCAATGAGTTGTATTAAATATTACAATTTTAAAATTTTAATTCTAATTAATATTTAAAGTAAAATTTTAAAATTAAATAATTTCTGATCAACACAAATAATGACGTCGCGCAACATATTCCGAGTCACGTCACTATTTGCAGAGCCACATGCAAAAGTGAAGAGGAATTAAAAAAAGAAAACCAAAGTGTAGAATTTCTTAAAGACTAAAAGTTCAAAAATATGTAAATAGGAAGATTATATGTGTTTAAGCCTAATATTTTAGTTGAAAATATACTACATTTGAAAACTTACACAAACCAATCGTTTTTACCTTAATAGTTAGTTCCTATCAACTCATTTTCTTGAAATCAACTCAATACACGATAGGAGTTAATTCTACTCGAAACAACTTTCCAACTAATTTCCTCCACCCTAATATTTGTCTATAAAGTAGTAGTATTAATAACTTGGCTAACTAAGTGCTTGTGTTTGGTTAAGAGTATTTTCATTTAGTGCTTAAAAAGTGTTCTCAATAAAATTGTTCTTCAATGGATGCTACTTTTATTCAATCTTGTATAAATGCAATTTTCAGTTTGTAGCAGGATGCTTCTTTCTTTACTTGGTATCATCTTTCCCTTGCTCCTCCACTGAACTGAAACAAACATAATAGAGAAAAGAAAATGTACCAACTGTGATTGTAATCTCGAACTATTAATGACAGTTGCATCACTTCATTTGTTAAAACAGACGCAGCCTATTATTTTCAGAATAAACATAAACATATTACACAAATAACCCAAAATAAAATACACAAATTACAACAAACTAACAAACCAACAACACTAAACAAGTGCAGCAGAAGTAAGAGAGATAAGTGCTTTCTTAATTCTCTCTACAGCTGCCTGTAGTGTTGGAAGGGATGCTGCATAAGAGATACGGATGCAAGTATCGTCTCCAAATGCACTCCCTGGCACCAGTGCTACCTGTAGACAAAAAACATTGTTATAAGCTATGTAACACCGACATTTCACTTCAAACTGAAGCCGTTACGCTTATAAAACATCGCTAAATTCTTGTAAGACATTGAGTATACCTGGCCTTTTTCCAATAGATATCGACAAAGGGACTCAGAATCCTCAATTTTACCAAATCCTTCTGCTTCTCTTCCATAATAGATGCTGAAGTCAATGAATAAATAAAATGCTCCCTGCAAGGAAAAAGAAAGTATTTATTCATGAGTAGAAAACAGATGAAAAAGGGCAAAAACACGGAGAATCACTATTGAAGAAATGGGTGAAAAACTAGATGGATTTGCACCTGTGGTTCAGATATTTTAACACCGTCAATTTCTCTGAAACTTTTAACCAAGTAATCCCTTCGTTCTCTAAAGGCTTTCACCATGATAGATACAGCCTCTCCACCAGCATAGCCTAGTCCTAATGCAGCAACTCCAGCTTTCTGAGATATACTACTGGCCCCTGAAGTCAACTGAATTTAATAAAACACTTCAGCTACTAAAGTCTGCATATAGTATCAAATAACAAAAGTATTCCAACTAATTCCAAATGAATGCTCAAAAGATTTTTACAGTTCCCTCTTAGATGCTGACTATGGTTAAACCTAATAACCTGTTGCATGTCTTGTAGCAAAAGGAAATAAAGAAAAGATGACAAGTAGAATAAAGCTGAGAAATGTGGCGAGTCAGTATACCTGACTTTGGATCTTTCCGCATGCTGAAATAAAATGTTTTGGGCCAGCAATATATCCAAGCCGCCATCCAGTCATTGCAAAGGCCTGCAGTAAATAAATTTAAAAGCATCAGGATCCAATTTGGAGACCATCCATATTTATTTCACAATTTACGATCATATTATGAAATGCAGCATAGCATTGATTAGCAGATAAGAATCACGAGATACAATTATAAGTTATAACAGAAAGAGAACATGACATTCGGACTAACCTTAGAAAATCCATTCACAGTTAGAGTTCTGTCCCACATTCCCGGTAAAGATGCAAAGCTTGTATGTGTTGCTGGGGCATAAATTATGTGTTCATAAATTTCATCAGAGATAACCTGCACAATACAGCTATTAAGATCTTAAGAAGAACTACGATCCAAGTTGAACACATTGAAGCGCTTGTGAATGCATCAGAGATGTATGACTTTACCAAAAGCCTAGGGTGCTTTGCTACAATTTGAGCTATCTCTTCAAGTAATTTCTTAGGATATACAGATCCTGTCGGGTTAGATGGCGAACAAAGAATAAGCAGTCTTGACCTTTCAGTAACTCTGGACTCAAGGAGTTTGGGATCTAAAAGGAAATCATCAGATATTGACGTTGGAAGAATAACGGGTGTTGCATCAGCCAATCTTGCCATTTCTGGGTAACTAACCCAAAATGGAGCTGGAATAATAACCTGAAATATTCATATCAGAAATGAAAGCCATCATAACACAATAATATGCAAAAGATTGTAGAATGCTAACAGCCTATTACAACGACGGCAACCAAAGGCAAGCACAGCAGTCACCAGAAAATTTCTAATGCATCAAAGATTTTCCCAGGCTTTCATTAAGACAAGATGACAAGAATTTGAATAATTCAAATGAGTATGTTCGAGTAAAACTATCCACCGATACCTAACCCAAAAGACCACAGTTTCATCATAAGTATTGAGTAGTTCTTCTAGTGCTTATCCTAATAGTATAATGAACTAAATCCCTTTACTCACCTCATCTCCTGGTGAGCAAACTGCAAGCACGGCCTGAGTAATACTCTGCTTAGCACCATTACTAATAACAACTTGATCAGGAGTATAAGAAAGCCCATTCTCCTCTGCAAAATCAATCAATCATATCATTCTCAAAATCCACATCCCATATAATCAACCCAAATGAAACCATAAATATAATACAATCAAACTAACCTTTAAGCTTATGACAAATTGCTTGGCGCAATTCTAACGTTCCAGCATTAGGGGTGTACCTTGTTTGTCCTTCACGAATTGCATTAATCCCAGCCTACACTACCATACAAGACACAACACTAAGGCCACATTTGAATAAACAACCTAATTAAGCACTCATAGCATACATGTATAATGCATTTATGATTAAATTTCGCAATGAAAATGAGAATGTAAGGAGAAAAGACCTCAGCTATGACAGCAGGTGTATCAAAATCAGGCTCACCAGCCGCCAAGCGAATAACAGGAACACCAGCTTGAACGAGAGCAGTAGCTTGATCAGTTATAGCCACAGTTCTCGAAGGCTTCACAGCATTAACACGTGGACTCAATGAAATATCAACACCCAATTCACCAAAATCGGTTTTTGACTTGACTATCAATCTCCCTCTTCTATTCTGCTCCACCCCAACAACGCATTTTACCGCGTTCGTATCCATTGTTCTGCAAACCCATGAATGAAAAAAATGTTAATTTATTAAGAAAAGAATAAGAAGAAAAAGAAGTGAGAGTTGGGGAGTGACCTGTGGGGAAAGGTGGAGAGGTTTGAGGAGAAAGAGAGGGATCTGGAGACATGGCGAGATTGGTCATGGAAAGAGATTCCAGACGTGGTGGTGTTATATAACGTGTTGGCCATGGAAGGTGGGTAATTGAATCTGAATTAGGAAGTGTGCTGAAGAAATTGTGGAGGTGGTTAGTGTGATATATAAATGAGAAGAGAAGGAGAGTTGGAGAGGGAGGGGTTTGGTGGAGAAGTGGGTGGGAGAGAGTTGGTGAAACCTGAAATTTCCTTTATTCAAATAATTAATCGAATTCAAGTTTATATAAATAAATACTAGAGTTTAGGTGGGGGGTGTATGTGTGGGCATATGGCGGCCATTTTTATCGATTGAAAACTCAAAGTTTGATATTATGAACTTGATTTGGTGAAAAATCAACAAAGTATAACAAAAAAGAAGTGTTAAAAAACAACTTACAAATAAAAATATTTTCAAGCCGAAAAAAATATTTTTTTCTTCTATTTTTTTCCTTCTCATTTTGTGATTCTATTAAAGACGACGTCATTGTGGACTTTTTAAATGGACCAAACTACAATTGTCAAATCAAATGATAATCACTCATATACTTAATCATGCTCCCCTAAAGAAAGAAGAGACTAAAAAAGCATCATATAGTCATTAGTGATAACTATCTGCCACCCGACCACTTAAAGATTTACATCAAACAAACAAGATTAGCTCACAAGTAACAAATAGACGGGAAACCGTCTCAACCAAATATACAAACATGGGATAAGATATTGTATTGGGATAAAAAGTTACATTTTTCTTAGAAGTTTTTCTCTAGACGAGAATCTATCTTGCAAAAAATTTCAACAGAATTACAATGTCTTAAAAAGAGTCCAACTAATCCAGATAAGGGAGAGTATTTAGCTCTCTGTCGAAAGAAGAACCAAAAAAGGGGTCTAACTAACCTTCTAACCAAGTTAAGTGGATGCCACTGAGAAAGTATCTTCTCTAGCATGCTTCTAAATCCACTTATCAATGTCCTGGAAAAGAGTGACATCTTGAAGGAGAGATAAAAGTTCCTAAACAAAACGAGTAGCTTTCAAAAAAAGAAGGGTTTTCACTATCTAATACCCCAAGTCAAGACCACATTAACCACAAAAACAATCTCTTCCACCTCTCTATTAGATTGAACATAGTTATGAAACCACATAGTATCATTTGGTATTGTTTGCGTGCTTTAAGTATCAATTTATGTTTTGATGTTTTACAATTTGATTATTACTTGATTGCGTATTTGTAATTTGTATGTTATCTTAATTCATTTGTGTGATTGTACTATTCATTTTCATTTGATAAAAATCGTTTCAGCTACTAAGTTGTACCACTAAGAATTCTCTACATTTCATGATTATTTTCATTTGATCCTAGTTGGTATTTTCTTTTTTAGCCTAGAAAATTACTATTTTTTCATTTCCACGTGAGTAGCTTGAATTACAAGTTAGAACATTTGAATTTGGATGTTTTGATATTTGATTTGAATCATGTGTTATATTTTATTTGAATCATTCACTTGCTGAAAATTGGAACACAGTTATGAGTCAAATGATTCGAATAAAAAATTGAACATGATTAGAATCATAACCTCTTTTGATTCGAATCAAGTGCAAATAATTATTCAAATAATTAGCTTTAAAAAGCGCCTTTTTTGGGCTGTTTAGATTGATTTGAATCATAAATCCTTCTTGATTCGAATAAAACTTCTAAAAATCTAAATTTTCATCTCTTATTTAAATAGTTGTTTATTTTGGTGAAAGTAACAAGATGTGTGAAACCTATGGTGATCCAGAGAGAAAAAAATATGATTTTTTTGTCTTCTCATCTTAGTGTGTTCATCTTTACACCATGTTTCTCTCTTTTTCTTAAAACATCAACATTTTGATATTGAATCCATGTCAATTCTTTATCCTTTTTGTTGCATATTTTGTCAAATTTGATTGTTGTCTTTGTGTGATTTAGAGAATGATTTGATCAAGCTCTTAATAACAATCAAGAACCAAGACCAACTCGTCTAGAAACTCGATTGAGCCTTATTTGTGTGTTTATCATTCACCAAAATAGAATTACTTGATTAACACCTCGTAATGTCAGTGGTTGCTTGAGATTATATGGAATTGTTCATCATTTTCATCCTTAGTCTTGTTCCTTAGATTATGAACCTTCCTATAAAGATTGAGTGTAAGGGAGACTAGTGGTTCATTAGGGTATCTAAAGTTTTTGTGTGTAGCTGGTATTTCATGTAACATGTGCATGTAACATTTCTTGTGTGCGATTTGGCATTGAGTTGTTATCTATCAAGATAAGAGTTTCCTTTGTACTCCAAGGAAGAATTTGGCAAGATCAAATATCAACGGTCGTAAGGAGGAGTAGGAAGTTTTCCTTCTTTGGTCACGTTAGAGAAAGATTGCTTGCAGACAAAGTTAGGAGTTATCGATATACGCTTAATTAATGGCAATCGCTAGACAAAAAATCGGTGGGATCAGGGGGATCACCACACACGAATACTTGGAGTAGGTTATTGTGGATAGCGAGGTTATTGGATCAAGATCTTGAGGGATCTTGTTTTTTTAACAGTTTAGTGTTTGCATCATTAGAGAGAATTATTATGCGATAGTTCTTTGTAATCAAAATGCTGTAAACATTTTCTCAAAATAGTGGAAGACCGTTATTTTATTCTCATGGCATCATACATTAAAGAGTGCACATAGGAAAAGCGAGTAAAAATGCCAAAACACTATATATCTCTGTGTATCTTTCCATTTCCATCTCTCTTTTACATTACAAGCTTTCATTCACATTTGTCATTGCATTATTGTATGATTGCATTGATTGTATACCATATAGGTTAAAACGTGTTTATAGCGATTTAATATATAAGTTTAGTTATGTAGTGTATCAATCTTACGGAATCATCATGAAACCAATTATGCATTATTAAGAACATATAAGTAATGTCTTTCCAAATCACTTTGTTTAAAGCGACTTTGGTTGACTTGCAAGTGACTTGAACTAGAAGCAATTAACATAATAGTAACTTCATGTACCATTTCATGTAGATTGATTCATTAAGATGCTTCCAAGCTCTCGTATTTTGTGTTTTATTTATGTGCTTCTTAAAATCTTCGATTTTTTTTTTGTGACCTAAAAAGTTTTTCAAATTGTCTAAAGGAAATTTGGGTATGCTCAACCCCATTTAATTCTAGACATTGTAGTATCTATATTCTCATCTAACAATTGGTGTCGAATCTGGGCTTTTTATTAAAGTCTAGTGACTCCAAAAGTTGAGGATATGGTTCCTTCGATTCTATACGAGTCTTTCAAAATGTTTGGAGGCTTATGCAATTCAATGAATTCCAAATGAAATTACATTAATTTACTTGTGTTTTATTATTCATTGTAATGCATTACATAAATTAATTCAAAGTAAAACCTTACTAGAATATCTTCAAGCATTAATTGTATTTAAGATGCTCTCTAAGTTTTGGTTCATCCAGGATTAAACTAACAAGTTTTTCTGAGATATGTGTAGTATGTTTGTGACATTATTTCCTGGAATAAAATAAATAAATTTCTATTGCTTAGTAACGTTTTCTCTACTTTTTGGAATATGAATCTTTTGACCTGTGAAGTTCTCATGTTTTGTAAAGCAATTAGTTAGAATGCATATATGTCGGTAAATGCCTTTAACCATTGAAAACTGAAGAGCATAACGCATTTATTAGTCATTATGATTGATTCAATAAATTATTGTCTTACATGCACCATGAAGGTGAGAAAATACTTAGAAGGGGGGGGGGGGGGGGGGTTGAATAAGTATGAAGATAAAAACTTAGAAATAAAAACTCAAGTATTTTTATCCTGTTTCGTTGAACTCAACTACTCCAGTCCACCCTTCCTAGAGTGATTTGCCTTTCTCAATCAAGGACTTAATCCACTATTTAATCAACTGATTACAATAGTAAGCACTAAGAACAACTGTTCAAAGTCTTCTCAAGAACTACTGATCCTAACTGGATCTTCTTGAGGTTTTCTTACAATCAAATGTAATAACAAATACAAGTGTTTAAATTGCTTCTAATAAAGCTTTATCACAACTGTGATTTTTCACTTAATATTAAGAACAAAGAAATTAATTCTAGAAAGAAAGTAAATTGTATGAGAGCTTTGGATATTGATTTCTTTTCAGGTAAAACGTAAACTGAAGAAGATGGGTGAAGACTTGCTTTTATAGGCAGCTTGATCCAAGAGAACTTCACGTTGAGAAGAGTGTACTAAAAGGTCTGAGCCTTTTTGTCTTCACATCAAGTGACCTTTCCTAGAAGAAGAAAGCACAGAGAAATCCTTTTTGTATGTGTTCTTGTGTCTAGCATAAATAAGGAAAGAGTCGTTTGGATTATTCCAACGGACATAATCTTTGAATTCTTCTTCATCAATTTTCAGCAAGAATCATCAGAGTCTAATTTGATCAGAGCCTTCTAATGTTGATCAGATTTTTGCTGAATCAGAGTCTTTGCAGCAAGTGTGCTTTTAGCGTGTATAAGTTCAGAGCATATTTGAGTCAGATCCTCAGTACTGGCAGCTTTAGTACTTTCAGAATCTTCTGTAGTAACTATGCTTGAAAACTCTTCATACAGAATTCTTCTTTGGTTCAAATGCTTCTGACTTGCTTCAGATTCTTCTAGAGCTTCTGCTTCAGATCCTTCTGGAGCTTCTGCTTCAGATCCTTCTGGAGGCTACGCTCAGGATCTTCTGTTGGCAGCATTCAAAATCTTCTAATGGATGCATCTGGCGCTTCAGAGTCTAACATATTTCTTATGTTCAGTTCTGATTTGCTTCTGGAGTGATAATTACTTTAATATCTGCAGCAAACACTCTTAAGCAAATTTTAGAGTATATAATTCTTAATTACAAATTTTCATAATAGTTATCATCAAAACATAGAGATATTATTAAGAATCAATCTGTGTTCTAACAATCTCCCCCTTTTTGATGATGACAAAAATATCAGAAATTTTGTTTAATTGAAAATAGAATAAATATAACTCCCCCTGAGATGATGAATCTCCCCCTG